AAGAAGAAGAATAAGAAGAAGAAGAAGAAGAAGAAGAAGAAGAAGAAGAGAAGAAGAAGAAGAAGAAGAGAAGAAGAAAGAAGAAGAAGAAAGAAGAATAAAGAAGAAGAAGAAGAAGAAGAAGAAGAAGAAGAAGAAGAATAAGAAGAAGAAGAAGAAGAAGAAGAAGAAGAAGAAGAAGAAGAAGAAGAAAGAAGAAGAAGAAGAAGAAGAAGAAGAAGAAGAAGAAGAAGAAGAAGAAGAAGAAGAAGAAGAAGAAGAGAAGAAGAAGAAGAAGAAGAAGAAGAAGCAGAAGAAGAAGAGAAGAAGAAGAAGAAGAAGAAGAAGAAGAAGAAGAAGAAGAAGAAGAAGAAGAAGAAGAAGAAGAAGAAGAAGAAGAAGCAGAAGAAGAAGAAGAATAAGAAGAAGAAGAACAAGAAGAAGAAGAAGAAGAGAAGAAGAAAAAGCAGAAGAAGAAGAAGAAGAAGAAGAAGAAGAAGAAGAAGAAGAAGAAGAAGAAGAAGAAGCAAGAAGAAGAAGAAGAAGAAGAAGAAGAAGAAGAAGAAGAAGAAGAAGAAGAAGAAGAAGAATAAGAAGAAGAAGAAGCAGAAGAAGCAGAAGAAGAAGAAGCAGAAGAAGAAGAAGGAGAAGAAGATGGAGACGAAGAAGATGCAGCAGCAGAATAAGAAGAAGAAGAAGAAGAAGAAGCAGAAGAAGAAGAAGAATAAGAAGAAGAAGAAGAAGAAGAAGAAGAAGAAGCAGAAGAAGAAGAAGAATAAGAAGAAGCAGCAGAAGAAGAAGAAGAAGAATAAGAAGAAGCAGAAGAAGAAGAAGAAGAAGAAGAAGAAGAAGAAGAAGAAGAAGAAGAAGAAGAAGAAGAAGCAAGAAGAAGAAGAAGAAGCAGAAGAAGAAGAAGAAGAAGGAGAATAAGAAGAAGAAGAAGAAGAAGAAGAAGAAGAAGAATAAGAAGAAGGAAGAAGAAGAAGAAGAAGAAGAAGAAGAGAAGAAGAAGAAGAAGAAGAAGAAGAAGAAGAAGAAGAAGAAGAAGAATAAGAAGAAGAAGAAGAAGAAGAAGAAGAAGAAGAAGAAGAAGAAGAAGAAGAAGAAGAAGAAGAAGAAGAAGAAGAAGAAGCAGAAGAAGAAGAAGAAGAAGAAGAAGAAGCAGAAGAAGAAGAAGAAGAAGAAGAAGAAGAAGAAGAAGAAGAAGAAGAAGAAGAAGAATAAGAAGAAGAAGAAGAAGAAGAATAAGAAGAAGCAGAAGAAGAAGAAGAAGAAGAAGAAGAAGAAGAAGCAGCAGAAGAAGAAGAAGAAGAAGAAGAAGCAGAAGAAGATGAAGAAGCAGAATAAGAAGAAGAAGAAGAAGAAGAAGAAGAAGAAGAAGAAGAAGAAGCAGAAGAAGAAGAAGGAGAAGAAGATGGAGACGAAGAAGATGCAGCAGCAGAATAAGAAGAAGAAGAAGAAGAAGAAGAAGAGGGTAAAATACAGAAGAAAAAGTAGAAAAAGCAGAAGAACCAGTAAAAGTAGGAGATACAGAAGAAGAAAAGCACTAGAAGAAGAAGAAGAAGAAGAAGAAAAAGAAGAAGTGCAGCAGGAGTAGCAGAAGAAGTAGAATAACTCAAAAGATAAATGAGAAAGTAAGAAAAAGCAACAGAAGACGAAGACTGCCATTTATTACTGTCGTGAGTGTTTAGAACGTTCGCTTTCTAACCATGAAATTTGGTTTCGATCCTTGCCTTGGTGATTTCTTGATGTTATCGGACTTCGTCGGGGCCAATCGCGCGACATCTTTAGAAAGTGACTGGAAACCGTAGCCCGGGTTGACCCGAGCTTTGTGGAGTGAGTGACATGGGGCAGATTTAGTTTGGGTGCCGTCAATGATTGTACTAGCCCTAACCAAGTGTTTGTGTCAACTGGCTTTGTTCAGACTGTAGATCATGCCGGATAATCACCTCTCTTCGAGAAACTGTGAAGCAATCGCCATCAGACATAGCTGCAGTATACACCACAGGTGGGCTCTGTAGGTATTAAATAAACACAAATATACCTGGGTACTCTAGTAGAAAGGGATACGAACAGTCAGCAATTAAAAGCAAGTCGCTTTTTGACATGAAAATAATTAAACGAAAACAAAGAAAGAATAATTACACTTGCTTTAAGTTTTCAAAAATCAGATTTGACCAAAAATGAAATATTGCTAAAATATTCGGGATGGACATGCTCAATACTTGCTTTCTCATCTTGTTAGAATCTAAATTCGTTTACTCAGTGTTGGGGGAGAAGTCTTCGTCATATTTTTTTTTTTTTTTTTTGCCTCTTGCTCAGAGGCTCAGTGGTTTCCTCGTAGGCGGAATTATTCAGATGAGCGTCATTGTTTATTTCCAATAGTTCAGACCATTATAACTGGGACACGCCATGCTACATCCATGGAATCGAATCATCCTCATTTCCTCCGTATTTCAAATGTAAGTAGAAAGTTATCGCTTCGACAGCATACACCCGTTAATGCTTTCTTTAAAAATATCTCAACCTTTTTCAATGTTATCTGTATTGCCTCTTTTCACAATCTTCACTTCCCACCACCTCTCTTTCATAAATGTCACACACCCCATTCATTATAGCCCTTTTAATAATAACAAATATCTTGTGTGCTCTTTGTGAATCACGCTAAAATATTAACTTTGAAAGCCAAGGACTAATCCTTATCAAAACTCCTGATCCCCATAATATTAACTTCCAACCATCTACTCTTTCGTATCACACACCAATCATCCTAAATATTTGCACAGTGAATATCTAAATATTTAGAAAGATAGACACGCATGCGCAGAGAAGAATGCAGGTATACTTTCCAGTCGATATGGCATAGTTTAGATATGGCATGAGATCGAAGATAGGGGACACATAGTGAAGATCGAACTCACCAATCAGTCATATTTGAGCTAGCGAGGAAAGCTTGCTAAACATAACGCCACGTTGAAGTGCCCGAAACAATGTACTAAGCATAGCTTAGATGTGACACAAGGCCAAAAGCGAGATGTACACCCAGTGAGCATCGAACTCACTACAGTAGAAATTCATGTGGTGAGACATACTTGCAAAACATTACGCCATGTCGAACTGCACGAAACGATTTACTAAGTATGGCTTAGATGTAGCACAAAACCAAAAAAAGGACGATTCAGCGTCGATCGAACTCACTATTGCCGTCATAAATCTAGCGAGACAATATTGCTAAACATTACAACGCGTCGAAGCGTCTGAAATGATTATTTCGGGTTAGCTTACTTGTGGCAGAAGGCTTAGACCAGTGAGAATTGAACTCGCTACCCAACTGCAATGCATATAGCAAGACAATCTTGCCAAACATTACACCACATCGAAGCGCTCAAAATGATGTACTAAGCATAACTTGAATGTGGTACCTTGTCGAATGTGCGGAGAACGCTGTGAGAATCGAACTCACTACACAATTGTAATATATCTAGCGAGACAATCTTGCCAACCATTTAATATCGAAGCTCTCAAAATGATTTTTTAAGCGTAGATTGGACGTGGCACCTTGTCGAAAGAGTGGAGAAAGCTGTGAGAACCCAACTCGCTACACAATTGTAATATATCTATCGAGACAATCTTGTACTGTATTACAACACTTCAAACCGGCCCAAATGATTTTCATAGTGTAGCTTTGACGTGGCATCTTATCACAGGTATGGAGAATATCTTGAGAATCAACTCTCTACCTATTTGTAATATATCTAGCGAGACAACCTTGATAAGCTTTACACTCCGTCCACTTGCCACGTCGATCAAGATTAAAATATCTTTAATTATTTTCAAAAATGGCTATTGGCGGATAGAGTTATTCCGATAAGATACCTACGTGACATTTTATTTTTTTAATTTGATTTGATAAGTTAGATAAAATTTGACAACCTTATATCTCGCCCATAGCTTCTTTAATTACGACTTAGGATCTGTCATTTGTCTATTGCTTAATGTTATCGAAAACAGACAACCATCACTTGATTTGAAAATAATTGAACGAAAACAAAGAAAGACCAAATTAAATTAAATAGAAACGAAAGAAATAATGAAAAAGCCAGTTTAGTTCAAAGCCCCTAGCGCGGATTGAACACGCAAGAAAGTATTATAATATGCTCGGGTTCCTTGCTAAATGTTATGCCACTTCGAAGCGACTGATTATGTTCTCCTATATTCGCAGTTAGTAAGTTTATGATTGACTATCTATCCTCATCTCTGTTCTGCTAAATATTTACCCGGGCTCGTTAGCTAGTTTATTCGCTGCTTTTCACAGCCCCTCTTGCCTTTAATATATCCTGTAAGCGTCAAATTATCTAAGTTTTCTTTTCACTGTATGTGCCCTAGAAATTTCACCTGACATTTTCAGCTCTTCCTTGTATAATGCTGACAATAACAGCAAATGGTTAAACGCATACTAACAATGATCATCGCAATCATAATAACTTGTAATACTCGTGAAAATGACATGGTTTATATTTGTTTTTTTTTTGTATACATCTTAGTCATAATTCTTAATTTAAATATTGAATACGTTCCTTGTGATGCCCATGACAACAGATTACCATTGGGAATTCCAGTATTGCATTGTTAAATGTTTCAGCTTAACAATCGCAATTATAATTATGAAAGCAGGTAATTATTTAAAGACGTAAGAGGGCACAAATGAAATCATTAAAAATTAACAGTGTTTGCCATTTCAATGAAGGAGATGTTAATTGTCTGCTGTCATGTAGGGATTCTCTTTCTTTCTTCCTGTTTTTTTTTTTTACTTATTTGTATGCTTTCTTTCTTTCATTCCTTCTTTCATTGTTATGATGTTTGCTATCATTTCTTTTTCTCAATCATTCTTTCTGTGTTCTTTATTACGTAGGCTTTTGTTCTTATTATCTATGCCATTTTTCATTCTTTCTTTCTGAATGTCTTTATTATGTAAGCATTCTTTCTATCATTTTTCTCTCTGTATATCTGTACGATTATTTATGCGTTCTTTTTTCATTGTTTCTTTCTGTCTTTCTTATTATGTATGTTTTACTGCTTTTAGTTTTCTTTCTGTATTTCATTCTTATGATGTATTCGTTCTTTCTTTCTTTCATGCCTTCTTTCATTCTTTCATTCCTTCTTTCATTCTTTCTTTCTTTCGTTCTTTCTTTCTTTCTTTCTTTCTTTCTTTCATTCTTTCATTCTTTTCTTCTTTTCGTTCTTTTCTTTCTTTCTTTCTTTCTTTTTCTTTCTTTTTTCTTGCTTTTTTCCTTCTTTTCATTCTTTCATTCTTCTTTCTTTCTTTTTCATTCTTTCTTTCTTTTCATTCTTTTTTCTTTCTTTTTTTTCTTTTTCTTTCATTCTTTTTCATTCTTTTTTCTTTCGTTCTTTTCTTTCTTTCTTTTCTTTCTTTCATTCCTTCTTTTCTTTCTTTCATTCCTTCTTTCATTCTTTCATTCCTTCTTTCATTCTTTCTTTCTTTCGTTCTTTCTTTCTTTCTTTCTTTTTTTCGTTCTTTCTTTCTTTCGTTCTTTCTTTCATTCTTTCTTTCTTTCGTTCTTTCTTTCTTTCTTTCTTATTATGTATATTCTTTCCTTCTTTCTGTATTTCATTCTTATTATGTATTTGTTTCTTCTTTCTTTCTTTTGTTCTTTCTTTCTTTCTTTCTTATTATGTATGTTTTACTGCTTTCATTTTTTTCTTTCTGCATGTCTTTCTTGTTATGTATGTTTTGTTTTTGTTTCTTTCTTTCTTTCTTTCTTTTTTTCTTTCTTTCTTCCTGTGTTTATTTATTATGTATGCTTCCTTTCTTTTTCTTTCATCCTTTCTTTCTTTTTATGTATATTCTTTCCTTCTTTCTGCATTTCATCCATCCTTTCTTTCCGTAGTCCCTTATTATCATGTATGCTTTCTATCTTTCTTTCTCTATTTCTTTTTTATTATGTATGCTTTCGTCTTCCATACTTTCTTTCTGTATTTCCTTATGCATGCTTTCTTTCTTTCTTTTTCTTTCTTTCTTTCTTTATATATGACATCGAATGCTGGACAATTCCCTCAATGATGAAGAAGAGACTTGACTCAACAGAAATTTCTACAAAAAGTTGCTGAGGATACCATGGACCGAATATGCGGGCAAAGACGAGGTTTTGGAGAAAATGGAAACAAAAAAGAAACTTATAATTAACCTCAAGAAATTTATGGGGGCGCAAAATGCGGAAGGAGGGATTGGAAAATGTGATACTCACAGGGCAGAGTGAGAGAAAGAAGGACAGAAGAAAGCAGTACGTAACATCCTTGATAACCTTGACAAAATAGATGACAGGACGCGATTTGGGAGAAATAACAAAAAGACGAAACTTATTAACAGCTACAAGAGACAGGAAGAAGTGAAGGCGCATGATCGTCTACGTCCGGAAGTGACACGACGCATAAAAGAAGAATTTTTCAAATATTATTAACTCCTATTTATTTATTTAATTTGTATTGTTTCGTTATATTAGCGTCCCTCCACTGCTATTTTGTAGGACTTTGAGAACAACATGACGCAGAATCTAGGGCAACCAAGAAATAACGACTGACCTACAGCATCTTTTCAGGATATAATCTCATTGACTTTCTAACATTTGTAAATGTTAGCAATATTTCTATCCTTAATATCGCTTCATCTATCCATTAATAAACTCGTTAATCAACTTACCTAATGCTTTTCACAGGCCGCTTTCGTTTTCAATATCTAATGTGAGTGTCTAATATTCCTAGCCTCCTTTCTTCATTATGTGTCCCAGAAACATGAAATGCCTCCTTTTCATTTTGTACGTGTTCTTTTTCTTTGCGTTTACCATAAACGTCATCAAGGGTTTTAATAACATTCTTCTGCAGAAGTATATCTCCGTTGCTTCGAGGTCCATCTGAGAGGAAATTGTTTTGTATTCATAGTCATGTAAAAAGATTTATATTATACAGAATTTGAATACTCCTTTTTTCTTTCCAACGACATTTTTCTGTTTTTAAGACTCTATAGCTTTGGCATGTCACTTTCTCTATTCCAATGTGCCATTGAATATTTGAATCACATTTTCTCTCGTTCGATAAATCACTTCCCAGTTATAAACATTTTTTGAACACACTTGATTCTGGAATCTCCAAATTTCAGTTGTCTTTTTAGGCTGTTTCTTTTCCTAACGGCCGTATATTCTGTCTTCATACAACTGACAGTTAGTTCTTTCTTCTTGCTTTCTTTTACTACTTTCTTTCGCAGTACCCGCGTCTATCTTTCTGTGTCTGCCGTACGCGAGCAGCTTGTGAACTCATAAATCGTTTGTTGCATTCTGAAGATAATCTCCGATAAAATCATAAAATGTAACAAAAGATATGGATTCTGCAAAGAAAACATTTATTGCCTGAGAACAAGTCGGCGACAATAATTTATTAGCTGACGAGTTCTGTAGCTTTTTCGGTGACGATTCCAGAACGAAAGTGCTTCACACGTCGAGATTCACTGATATTTAACATTATTTGTTGAATTTGCTTCAGTTCTACAATGATTAAAATATTGTATTATGGAATCTTTTACAAAGATATTAGTATTACGTTGAGTCATAAATTATTTCCGTTTTTTGTTATTAATATTTTCTTCAAAATTAAAGTGCAATTATATTTTATTTAATTGTATACTCATATATTCCTTGCTATGAACGGCTGCCATGTATCAAGTAGCTCTTCAATAAAACATGTATATAATTACGAAAGTTTAGAGAAAAATGGAAGCGAAAAAGACACTTAGAAAGAGACAGTTTAATGTGTATATAATTAGGAAAGAGGTCTTAAAACATTTTATATATTGATATAATGAAGGTAAGAAGAGCTGAGTAAAGCAGCTTATAACGTACGTAAGATTCTTTTGCAAATTGTTATCAGAACGGGAATTTGAAGAGATAGCTAAAAGAAAAACTTTACTAGACTCTAAAAAGGAAAATAAATTGTGGGGAGCCATGATCGTCATGAAAGGCATGTTGCTTCGCATCACGTAGAACGTAATTTATTTTCGTAAAGATGTTGGCAAACGTAAGATAATAGTTTGACAGAAGGTTACAAGAATGAAGTGTTCAGCGAGAATTCAAGTGATCCGATTAGCAATAATCTGTGATAGTAATCTATTAATAATCTTTCTAGCATAAATATAAGAGGAACATTCCTGAAGTTTTGAGAGTTTTCTTTTTAGGAGATCAGGTTATAACCGTCTTAAATTATTCTCTTGATTATGATACACATCTAATAAGGTAACCTGTTGTAACATATCTTGTAAGTGAGGACTACTTCTCACAGCTAACTAGCTAGCAGAAATGCAGTCGGGACGTGAAGACAACTTGGAATATCGCTATGTAATAAAAGATTTTTGTTGACAAAGATGGGTATCAAAATTATTATCCAAACTACCTACTGTCCAGGCCTTGCTCCCTATGAGACGTTTATATTTATTTATTATGTATTGCTACATTAGAACATGCACATAACCAGTAGGAAACTGAAGATAGTCGTTTTGAAGAAAATGAGAAAATGGCATAAGCTGTGACATACACTGTCCACACATACCAGATTTCATCCTCGATGACTTGGGCAAGAAAACTATAAGATATTAAGTTATTGTGTTTGAAATTGATGTAATGGAATAACCTGTCACGCCATGAGGGTAGTATAGGTAGTAACTAATTATAAGTATCTGTAAGTCAATGGGCAGGGTCTCATTCGGGGAGATCCCGTTTATGCGAGTTCTATGGGCATTTTTTAGCCGAGCCTTCGGAGAACCCACGTTAAACCCGGTCTTGTCCCACATGCAACTCTCGTAGTGGGTGGGTGGCTAAATATACTAGCTGAAATATTTTCGGTTGGCTGATCTGCGCAATGTAAACAAACTGGCGCCATATTTGTTATCAGCACGGTGATTTGAGCGTGTCATATTATTAGAAAAGTGTAAGAATTTAGTGAAAAGATTGAAGCAGTTTAAGTGATGCTGAAAAGAAAACTATCACCTCAAAACTCTCAAAAGGTAAATCTACCCTAGAAATTTCTAAAATGATAGGGAGGTGTCATCAAACAGTGAAAAAGTTCACCGCCGACCCTACACAAGTACGCAAAAGGGCAGATAAAGGCAAGCCGAGGGTTATTTCACGTCGTCTCATGTCACGACTTAAACGAGAGGCCACGAATAACACTAGACTTACCAGTCACGAGCTTTTCAGTCGCATTGGGGATCCTACTGTGTCTAAAATTACTCGGTGTCGTTATCTGAGGAAAATAGCAACAACAGTCAAACCTGTATCGAAGCCTCCGTTGACGACAAATCACATTCAAAATTGATTGAAATGGGCCGAGGACAATATGAAGATTGACTTCTCTATAGTTTTGTCCACAGACGAAACTCGAGCAACACTTGATGGGCCAGAAAGATTGTGCAAAGGCTGGGACAGAATCGCCATCAGCGTTTGAGACGCCAACGAGGCGGTAGAGGCATAATGATCTGGGGTGGTATTATTGGAAAAACATTAGTGGGCCCATGGAGAGTACCAGATGGCGTCAAAATGACTGCTGATGCATCCATAGCGTTTATGAACGAGCATCTTGTACCGTGGATGAAAAGGTAAAGAGTTGCCTTCCGAAGGGCCATTGTTTTTATGCAAGATAATTCTCCCTCATATATTGCTCACAAGACTACTGAATATTTGAAACAGTTAGGCTTCGATGGACCTCGAAAAATGAAGTGGACAGCAAATTCTCCGGATTTGAACCCAATCGAAAACCTTTGGAGCATCATGAAGCGAAGACTGTATGCCAACGGATGACAATTCAGGAGCAACGCTGAGTTGTGTGAAGCAATTCTTGACATATCTCGCGGCATTACAGCAGATGACATACTACAATTAACAAATTCTATGGATCGTCGACTTCTTCAAGTAATTTCAAAATAGGGAAAGCACATTCCCTATTAATTTGTTTAAAACTGTGCCTTTGTTTGTATCTGTTATTATTTGTTTGATTATCTTATTTATTAGCTTCTTTTGATCATAAACATTCGCGTGCAACATTAATAAACGTTTCGTTTGCTCAATTCTGGGAATTTTACTAAACCTTTCTAATAATTTGGCACGCTCAAATCACCGTGCTGATAACAAATATGGCGCCAGTTTGTTTACATTGCGCAGATCAGTCCGAAAATTTTCGTGATTGCGCAGGTTAGTGTTGCCAAAATTGTGTGGGAATTTTGTGTGAATTGATTGGACAGTTTTTGAAATATTAGAAAAAAAGTTATCTCGATAATAATTTGGCACGCAGTGCATATATATATATATATATATATATATATATATATATATATATATATATATTCAAATGTAAAAGAACGGACTAAGATTTCAGCGTTCAAATCATTGATTTAAAACAGAGCTCAATATAACAGTAGACCCGTAAATATTTATTTATTATGTAGTGTTACATAAGAACATGCACAAAACCACTACAAAATTGTACATCTTGTTTCAACGTTAAAAAAAATCTTTTTTAACGTTTCATCAGGTGGGGAATAACGATGCGTCTTAATATTTTATCTTTGTAGTAGACCCAGTAGGGATTATTACGAAGATAAAATAATGACGGAAGTGGAAGCTATGCTTCGATAACTGCATTTCTGAATGAAATATTTCAGTCGCATCATGATTCTCCACCTGATGAAACGTTAAAAAATATTTTTTAAAGTTGAAAGATGTACAGTTTGGTAGTTGCTCTGTGCATGTTCTAATGTAACACTGCATAATATATATATATATATATATATATATATATATATATATATATATATATATTTTTTGTATCATTTTCCAACTTATTCAAGATT